TAAAAATATGTCGGTTTTCAGGCACATAATTAAACACTAAGCTGTGAGTTTCCCGTGTATCACTGAGCCTAAAGTATTGTATCTTCAGTTTAGCATGAGGGTTCTTAGATCAATAGTCAAGTCCCTTTGCCATGCCCATTGAGACTTTCAGTTATGGGCTGATGTGCAGTCTTTCATGCTTGATCAAACAGAAGGAAAGATCAAGGGAGGAAGAATAAGACTAACAGATACTTTGGACCATCTGGATGGTTGAAACTAGCTGAATAAGTGAAAAACCTCTTGAAGTTTAAGAAACCAAGTGCAAGGTCCTGTACCTCATTCAAGGCAATATATACCCATATCAGTACAGACGGAAGAATGGATTGAGAGCAGTCCTGTGGAGAAGCACTTGGGGATTTTTGTGATGAAAAACCAGACATGAGCTGGCAATGTGTGTTTGCAGCCCAGAAAGTCAATCATATCCTGTTAGTAACAGAGAGAAGTGCAAAGATTGTTAATCTAGACATGGGGAAAAGCCTTATCTAACGTTAAGTATTTTTTATATAGTGTACCAGTGATTTGCTATCCTTACTATTTAAACTAGTCCTATACATTCAAACTGTGAATGCCTTCATATACTGTTACCTGAGATGGAAAACTTTTCCTTTGCCGTGTCTGCAAAGGGTGTTCTTTCGCCTTTTCCTTGTTCTTGTTCCTGATACGCACATAGCATATAAACATGGATTGCATGGATTACCATTTCAGAACAGATCCCCTGCCCCTCCAAGTGTTTTTTTCAAGTGCATAACTTTTTGCTCTTTTTTTTTTTTCCATATTGATGGCTTTTTCCATTGCCTTTTTATGTTGGCACAGTAACACTATGGTGAATTACATCATATTAGCAGCATTCATGATGCATTTGTTGCTTGGATGATGCCAACAAACTTGCCCTGGTTCTATGAAAAGGTGCAAGCAGAAAATCAAGCTCCAAAACTGATTTCCTGAGAGGGAAGACGTTTTTTAATTCTCTGTGCAGTAGAAAAGTTCTCTTCAGGTGATCCTTTATCACTGAGGAAGAAGTTCACAGTGGGAAGAAAAAAAGTAGCTGCCATTACATTGTAATTTAAACACACTGAAGCATTTGAGGATCTTGAGGCTGCTTTAGTTAGCCTGTCTGTCTGGATTGATCTTTGGGCTCTAATTTTAAGAGGTAACCACTACCAACCATATCAGTTGATGTAGTCTTCTTCCTTGCCTGAAATATCTGCTGCGTCTCTGATATTTTCAGTAGTGCATTGGTTCTCCTCACATAAGAGGTGTGAATTTGAGCTTGTGATCCTAATAGTCAGTAATCTTTCCAAGAGCTAGTACAGAGGTTGGTAGGATCTCCATCCTCATGAATATTTTCCGTATTTAATCCCTTTCTCAGTTTTACTGACTTTGAGGAACTTGACTAAGGTCTTTGGAGGTCCTTGGTCTCACATTACCCAGTGGACTGGAAAGCATGCTGGAAACACGGCATACTTGGAGGTAATGTGTTACGTGTATGTCAGTGCAAAAGCCTGTTTGCTTATTTACAGTTACTTCAAAGGAGCCTGAAATTAGAGTTTGCAAAGCAAGGAGGTTAAGATAGTAGATAGCATAATGGAAAAGTCATTTTTTTGGTATTACATCCTTTCTGCTATTTCTTTACAAGCTGTCATTGATAGGGTAGATAAGCTTCTGTTGCATTGCTTTTTCTCTCCACCTTGCTTTCATTCTCTCTAAGGAGATGTAATACTATGTAAAAAAAAAATGTCCTATGTTGACATTTTCCTTTTCTGGTGCTGTGAATAGCATGCTAATCTAATTGACATAGTTTGCCCTTCTTCACATAGTTTGTCCAATCTCTCAGGAACGCTCTCCTCTAATGGAAACTTCATTCAGCTTCATATTCTTCCTTAAAGATAAGCTGTCACCTGGTCAGGTCACTTGAGGCCTGAAACCAATGAAAAAATAGTCTTCATTTAAGTTCTCTGCAGATACATCATGCTCAGAATACATAGAGACCTTTCAGGCCAGTCTACACAGAATTGAATCATGGGTAAGTCATAGATAGTCAAAGATATACTCTGCTTTATATAGTATCATTTGAGCAGAGAGAAAGGAGGAGCAAGACTACACTCTCTGCACCTTCTGAAATGGAAACTTTCTAGTTACAATTGATAGGGCAGAAGCTTATCTGTAGTTAAATTGAAAATGTCAACAGCATGTCTCTGGAAATGTCACAGAGTGCAAGAACTCTGGTTCTTGGCAAATACCTTTTCTTTATTATATAATTAGCTGCTTTCAGGACAAAAAAAGTCAAGGGTAGATTTGAACCTTTTTGTATAGGCTACATTGGATGTGCTTTGCAAGCAGTTTACTTCCAGTGAATATTCCTGAACTGTTTCTCACAGGACTGCTTACTGGGATATATACAGACAGGTCTGCACTAAGATTCATAAGCTGCCAAATAAAATGTTTTGTTTTGTAGAAGTTTAATTGAAATGGTCCCATAGAATATCTATAACTTGATGGATCTGAACAAGGAAGTCTTTGTTGTGAATACAATCATCACTATTTTGGTATATTTTTTTATTTAGCAAATCGCATGATAAATGGTACTCACAGGAGAGGATGGGAGGTAATAGCCATTCTGTAAACTAAGTTTTGGCACAGTTTAAAAGCTACTTGCATTCCAACCATTTTTTTATACACTGTTAAATCAGTTTTCTGTTAACCTGCAAAAATACAGAATATAACCTCGGAATTAAAAGAATTAGCAAGCTAACTGATGAGAAAAAAATTAAGTACCTGCAATAACCACTACTACAAAGTACTCCTGCAGAGTTAGACCTTGGCATCTAGCACCAGGACCCTTGGTCTAGATACTGGCCTCTAGCCTTGTTGTGTCTTTTTAAGAGCACAGAGTTGCCATGCTACAGATTTGCATCAAGTAAAACAGTCCATTAGTGTTAACAACACAAACCTTGATGACTGGGAATGGAATGAAGGATGTCCAAGATCTTTCAAACCTCATTATGGGAAAAACATTGCTTCAAAGATTGTTTTATCTTGGCAACAGACAGATTGACAGGGGCCGTTTTGATTGTTGCAGTTGACTGGGGTCTTCTTTATTTGAGGTTATTTTCTGTTACAAGGAGAGGCTTTTGTAGTTGGCGTGACTTTTCTTCTCCATTTAAAAAGGAAAATGTTTATGTAGGTCATTCTGATCCACCCAGAGGAAGTGAAAGCTGATAGAGTAGAAGCTGATACACTAATACACCTTCAATTCCCCAGCATGTTCTATTTTTGTCTTTCTAAGTTTTAGTTTCCATCCTTGTACTATTTTTGCTGTTTATTGTTTCTGCAGATTTTCTTTGTATTCTTTTCTAATATCTTTCTATATTTCATTTTATGGAGTTTTCTCTTTGCTTTAAAAAATGGCAGAGTTTCTGATCTTGTTTTCTTCACTAAACACTAGTAAGGCAGGAAAATTTTGGTTATTATGTGCATCCTAGCCAGTTTGGGCTATGTGACACTGAAATTCTCCTCCATCTGTTGGTTACCGGTTGAACTCTTGGGTACATTTTGAATAGCTTTTGATAACTACATATTTAAAATTTTCCTTAATTTGCTGGCCATAAGAAGAATACTGCTTGTCAGCTACATTTGAGTGGAAGCAGATAGGCTTTCCACAGTAAATACTGCACAATGTCTATGCTAGTTTTTTATAAAGTTGCTAATTCAGAATGGCAGTGTTTCTTGCTCTATCACTAGTTGAGGATGAAAACCAGTCTTGTTATCTGTGTTTGTCCTGAATCATTAGCTCTGCCTTTAGGAGTACAGGATTTATTCAAGCAAGGGGTGGTATGTTCCATGCCTTGCATCTCCAACACCTCTATAGTGATTGCTGTGTCGAACTCCCTTTGTGAAAACATATAAATAAAAATTGAGCTTAATATAATTTCAGTAATTCACTTCCAGGATGGAGCATAACTTGACTGTTAAGCAGGGATATAAATGGCATGCAGTGCTCTGTCATCGTACTAAACTGATACAAATTTTTGACCGTGTGCACCAGTAGCATCTGAGTTTCTCCCGTTCAAAGCACATTGTAAAATTGTTTATGAACACTTGGTTGTGATAGAAAAAGAAGATCCATCAAGCATTATTGTAAAACTATTAAAAGAATAACCAGAGGCTTTTGTATGTTACATGTTGGTATACTTGAGCCTTTTGTGGCTTTGCATGATAATTAGTGATAAAATTTAGCTGAGGCAGAACCTGCTTCAAGTGCAAAATAAAATAAGACTATGTTAATCTGTGTAATATATATGCTAGAATTTACAATCATGTGAATTCTGAACCCTTACCATGTGTAAAAGGTATGAGCATTGTTCTGCTGGCCTTGTGTGCCATCAGCAACTCTTTGAATGTCTTTTATGTTGCTGTATCACAAAACATGCATATAAGCATTGTTCAGCAGATATGTTGAGGGAAGTAGCCTTACTTACATCTTCATGGGAACCAAATACTCTCCTTGTTTCAGAAACTGTCTTCATTTTTAAAGTGCATATGTAGTTTCTTTTTAGGCATAATTTCCAGAGAAAGTTTTCTATTATTCTGCTATATTGTCAGTGTATTCCATTTAATACCTAGCATTTTTGTGGGCTAATTTTAATATATACAGAACATCTGTTTACCCTTGTGGTACATTTTCTAAAATAGAAATACTGAAGAGTTGAAGAGTTGTAATTTGGTACCGTAATGGTAACGTTCCAGTGACCAGACTGTTAATTCAGAGACTGATGTTGCTTCAGTCAAGTGTAGACATTCTGTCCACAGCAGTAGATGATAGTTCCAGTCTACAGAACCGTTACGCAGTGTACATGCACTGGTAGTCTTTGTGCTCCAATTTAGTTGTGACATTCAGTGAGTTCCAGCTGATCACATTACACTGTTTTTCTCTACTCCTGTCTTCCCAAAAAACGTTTTAGGTAGAAGAGCTGATGATGGCCATGGAGAAGGTGAAGCAGGAGCTGGAGTCTATGAAAGCAAAATTATCCTCTACGCAACAGTCTTTGGCTGAGAAGGAAACCCACTTGACCAACCTACGAGCTGAAAGAAGGAAACATTTGGAAGAAGTTCTGGAAATGAAGTAAGTGTTTCTTTTCATTATTTGTAGGCAGGTTTTACTGATAGCTCTGAATTCTCCTCTGATCGCTGGTGTTCTAAAGACAGCCACTGCATGAATATGTCTCTATAGACAGCATCTATGTGTGTAATCAGTTGAACTTTCAGAAGTGACTTCTGACCAGGGATTATCTACCTGACTTTCACACTTCTGATGCAGATCAAAAACATTTCTTCCTTCTAATTGTGTGCAGTAGACTACTATTATTTGCACAATAGCATGATCAGAGATCCTAAACAGTTATTGGAACTCAGATATTTTGTGTGTCTTATGAATGTGCCATCTTGCTTTGAGTAGCTGATAATTTACTATAAGGTAAGACACAAGTGTAACAAATGACAAAAAAGAAAGGGAAGAGATAATGTCAGGTGGTTGTAATGCTGAAATCAGACTGCAGATATCTGGTTGGACTTCTCTCATCATCTTTACATCAGGAAGCGTGAATAAAACCAAGCTTTGAGAAGTGGGAAGAAATGAGGAATTAGAGTTCCAAGGCTTAAATCCTTCCTAATTTGTGACTGCGCATTACAGATAAATAGTTATCCTTAGTTTAGGGAAACATGAATCTATTTAGTGCAATGATGGATAGTGCTGCCAGCAGTTCATTAGAAACACTTTCAGTTGTTTAGCCAGCCCTGAAGAGAAGGAACATTTTTATTGGCAGGACCAGCAATGGTTCCTCCACTGTGGTTTTGTGAACCATTATTTATTTATTTAACTTTTCTGCACTGGTCTCTTTCCTTTTCTTTTTCTTTTCTTTTCTTTACTTTTTTTTTTTTTTCTTAATGAAAGGATAGAAAAACAGCTGTTACAGAATGGAAAGAGAGATGGCTTAGATCTTGAAACTTTAACTTAGGAGTGCTTGTATAAAGCGGGCCAAGCCTCCCCAGCTTTATTCAGCTACAACAGTCTGATCTAGACCTGGCGTAAGGACGTTGGAAGACTGAAGTACTTAGAAGCCACACTTTTTATTTTTAATAAAAATTTTATTGAGCTATAAATTTGACTGCCTTGAGAGTTGGTGTGTTGGGGGATGGGAAGAATAGCTCTTAAGGTGATGTGGGAATCCAAAACAACTGGGGATATATCCCATATCCAGTCACTTGGCAGAACTTTCTTTTGCCAAACTGCTCTGCCAAACCTTCTCATTAAAATATACACGTAGTGTACAGTATATCCTGAAATTAATTTGGAGTTGTGTAGCTCTAGAGCCTTTAATGTAACTACTCTCTTTTTCGAAGTGATGACCTCTCTTAGCTAAGTAAGTTATTGTTGGAAAGCTGTTGTACTGAAATGTAGTATCAGGACTGCATAAACTGGTAGATCCATTGTACCTCAGGAGGAAGAAGAACACTGGAGAGAATGGTAATGCTGTCAGCGCATGGAGAGAAAGATGGGAAAAGCATTATGTTTGTATAGTTAACTAGCTAAGCATGTTTTAGTCATAGCTGGTCTGTCTTAAAGTTCTATAAAGCTGCCAAAGGCATCCAGACTTTAAAAACTCATCCTCACCATGAGGTTCTGTTGCAAACAAGTCTCTGCTGAGGACTCCCAGTCAATTAAATATCTTGTATTTATATACAGAAATTCCTGTATATTCTTTGTTTCTTTACTTTCCCAGCCTATTTCTTTCATGAAAAGCACTCCTGTCATCTGTCTTCTAGTTTTGCAAAAAGTTTCTAATGTTGTTAAAATGTTTTAACTGAAAAATAAGAGTAATTGAACAAGTGATCAATTTTGTGAAGCAGTTAGCTAGTTTTGGTATCCTTAATGGAAACAATAGCTGTTGCGTGGATACTGTTCAAAGATACAGTAGAGCTGTATTGTTTCCCAAGTTTTAGGGCATGCTTCACTGGGAAAAGTTAGAGGTACTCAAAAGCAGTACTGATTAAATTTGAGATTTGATAGAGGTGCAAGTTTAACAGCCTGGGCCCTGCAGTCAGCTAAATGGGGCAGGGGAGCATAAAAGAAAAATAGCTTAAGAGATGCTGCTTTAGGAGATTCTAGATATGGACTGAAAGAAAGTGTTAAAGCAACAAGAAGACTCCAGAAAGTTACCTCTGGGTTTTAATAGGAAGTTGTTAGATATTATGGTAGTGAAAATATATATTTAAAATACTGTTTCTTAGAGTAGAACTTGTGTTTACTACTGACTCTGTAACTCCGAGATCATTTCACACTCCTTAGGGAATACTGTGGCACTAGAATAACCCAAGTGTGAATTATTCCAAGGAAGAAATTTCACTCCTTAAAGAAATACTATGTATTTTGAAGCCCTCTTCCTTTAAGTCTAATATTTTCATTTTCTTAAAAAAACAAAAAACGAACAAAAACAGACAAACAAAAAACAAACAAACAAAAAAACCCTGTGTTGCAAATAATTGTAAGAGAGGTAGATAATGGTCTCTCTATTTACATCACCAGCCCTGATCTACTGTAAAAAAATACCAGTGAACTGCTAGGATTTTTGTTTTGTTATGTTTTCTTTAAGAAGTTCTAATGTTTCCATCATTCACAGCAAATCTTTTAAATTAGGCAGGAATAAAGTGCTGTCTACAGAGAAATCTCTGTTCTTTGTCCCATAAAAACCTGCTTAGGCTCAGCTGAGTTATAAACTGTTGAAAATCACCGGTTTTCCTTTCCTTTTTTTTTCTCCTGGTGTTGTCAGCAGATTTTGGCAGTGTGTGAAAATAACCGAGCACAAACAGTCTAATCTGGGGCCGAGCTCCAAAACTGTAGCAGCGGACACTGCTTACAGGGAAGGGGAACAGACACTGTGTCTGCATGTAGAGAAGAGATTGGTTTGGTTTTTTGGTTGCTTTTTTTTTCATTAGGCAGGCCTTTTTTTATGGTCAGAAGGTTCTTCCTAGTCATCTGCTTTGCGGTTGAAAAGTCCCAGTTGGAGCATTTCTCAATCTGTTCTTTCAGACCTGGAAAACTGTCCAACAGCCCTTTCCTGAATTATGTCTTCTCTTGCTAATTGCAATTGCTGCTAGCCCTATAATTCAAGGGATGCAGACTTACATAATGTAGTTGGCGCTTCAGAGTTGAATCCTTCATCCTGCTGGCACACAAAGAAAAGATTATTGCTTGTCCGAGAATAATTTACTATCCTCTTTCTTCTTTAAAAAATAATCAAGGCTATTGGAGACAAATGAATTGTTATACTAGAATGTAACTTATGTTTCAAAATCAAGCTGTCAAAAAATGTTCTTTGATTTCTTATGTGGCTTTACATGAATGGTCTTTTGAATGTTTATCATTGTAGTCTCTAATTACATGAGTACATCCCACATACAGTGTTCTGTTTGATACAGAGTGTAGGTGGTGATCAGAGACGAACCAGGCCTGTGTAGCTTAGTGAAGCTGTTTATTGTATTCCTTCTTTGTTTCATCTTGGCCTTGGAAAGCCTGCTGGGAGCTACATGAAGGCTACTGTTAGAAATAAGATGCCAGCCTAGGCAGTGCTATGCAAGAAGACTGTTCATCCTTATCTCTGCTATAGTTTTTCTACATGATATGCAGGTGACTTAAAAATATTTGATAGACGGTTGATAAGTGCATGTGTTCATTTTCTGGCTGTCAGATAAGAAAAATCACACACACACAAACATTCACAAGTGAAAATGAAGTCAGTGGAAGCTAAGGTTATTTATCTTTTGAAAAATTCATCCTCTCAGCAGTAAAGCAGTATTGTCTGGAGGTATGAGTATAAGCTTGAAACTGAAAGTAGTCCAAAAGAAACTGATTAATTGCCACATAGTTTATTTGCCAAAAAAGTAATTTCAGTTGCTCCTAAATGAGGTGTGAAGTCATTTCAAATGCAGCAAACAGTTTAACCAAACAAAAATATTTCAGGCAATGTGTATCCACGGTGAACAAACCAAAAAAAAAAAAAAATAATTAATGTGCATCCAATGATAACTTGTCAGCTGATCAGAAATGGTCTTCTTGGAAATTAAAGGGCTTAGGGTTTTCTTTTTCATTAGAGGAAATTACAGTTTATGCCTATGGTTTGTCAGAAGGATGTGTATGTTCTACATGTATAAACAGTTGTCTCTGTAGTTTGAAATCACTTTGTATTTGTTGTCATTGCTATTAAGCAATAATATGTATCATCTGCAAGGTGTAGTTTTCTAGGCCCAGCACAAACTCTGCATCATACTGAATTGGACTATAAGGCCTGTGGGCCACCTGGTATATCAGGCTACTATGCGATTGCAGCATGGTACCAAAGCATCTCCTATAATTACTTTGTGTGAAATTAAATAAGCTAAATTCCCACAGGGGGCACTCCATGTCTGTAGGATTTACTGCCTGGGGCAGAGCTGAACAAGTGCATCTGCACCAGTCCCATTTTTAGCTCTGTAAGTTAAGGGTGTTTTTCCTTTAAAATGTCTTTTTCTGGGTGCACAGTGAAAATGAATGCAACAGGATCTTGTTACCACTGTTTTGTCCTTTTTAATTATCAAATGTAAAATACGCGATTATATATGTTTATTTTAATTACATGCGGTTAGATTTTGACATTTAAGTTGTAAAAAGTCCAGTTGCAGTAGACTGAAATGTGAAAAATTATCTATTTGTAATTACTGAACAGTACAGACATTACGTTTAAATAATTGGAAATGAATTGACCTTGGAAGTGCTGCTAATCTTGAAATGAATCACGCAGATTCCAATAGGAAAGCTGAAATATAGCGTATAGATATATTGTGTGTCTTTTAAGGCTAAAGGTTATTGAAAGGCCAGATTTTTTTTAACTCCATAGCCCTCCTTACTGTAATATCAGGCTTTCCATAAATGTAATTGTAGATCTTGGTTACTTTCAAATTTGATGGCTTCTGCTATTATTTGTTAATTCAGGTGGAATCTTGAGAGAAAACATAATCTCTTTTGTGCTTTTTTTCTCTTGGCAATTAAGGAATGAAGCCTGCTCTCCTTTCTGTCCTCCTGCGTTATCA